ATTGTAGGCGGCCTGAGTTGAAGCGAGACCTTGTGACTGGGAAGTTTCCAAAAGCTTGTTACACACTTGATAGACCAGCAAAGGAAGCATTGTGTGAATGGGTTAGGAATCTCAAATTTCCTTATGGCTATGCATCTAATATGAGTCGATGCGTAGATATGAAGAAATTGAAGTTGTTTGGTATGAAAAGTCACGACCGTCATGTGTTTATGCAGAGACTAATACCAATTGCATTTCGTGAGTTGCTCCCATTAAATGTTTGGAAAGTTCTTATAGAGTTGAGTTTATTCTTTATGAACCTTACTTCTACTACAATTAGAGTTGAGGACATGATGAAGCTTGAGAATGACATACCTCTCATTCTATGTCAACTTGAACGTATATTTCCTCCAAGTTTCTTTGACTCCATGGAGCATCTACCAATCCACTTAGCTTATGAAGCAAGGATTGCTGGTCCGGTGCAATATAGGTGGATGTATCCATTTGAGAGGTACAATTTTTATTAGTTGTTTTATATGTTTCCAAACATATAATAAAATCGTCACTTATGTATGTCAATTTTTTTTAGATACCTTCGAAAATTAAAAAATAATGTCAAACATAAAGCAAAGGTCGAGGGATCTATATCCAATGCATATTTGGTGGAAGAAGCATCATCGTTCTGTTCATACTATTTTGAAGACCATGTTAGCACGAAACACAGAAATGTGCCTCGAAATGCAGATGGTAGTGAATATGTAGTTGATGAACATGAAGAAACTCTTTCTATATTCAAGTATCCGGGTCGAGCATTTGGCAAAACAAAAGCGAGATATATGACAGATGAAGAGTATAAAGCTGCTCAAACCTATGTTTTATTAAATTGTTCAGAAGTGGAGCCGTTTATGGAGTAAGAATTTACTTCGGTTCAATTTTTCTTATGCAATGTGTTATAAATATTAACCCATGTGCTCAAACCTATGTGTTATAAAGGGTTTATATTGAGGAGTTAAAGAGGAGTCAACCAAACATTTGCAGTACTACCATCGATCGCACATTGGAAAATGAATTTGCAAATTGGTTCAATGGCTATGTAAGACTTGTATATTATGTATATTGAGCTTCAAATTGTTTAACACACTTTGATGCTTATATTATGTATTATACAGGCACATGATCCTTCAAACAACATTTCAAACAAATTTATAAAGGCTCTTGCAAAAGGGCCACTTAGATCTGTCACAAGCTATTCATGGTATTATGTGAATGGCTTTAAATTTTACACCATTGGTTATGGTGGAGCTAAAGAAACAATGAATAGTGGAGTTTGCATAAAAGGTATAAACTATAGTATAGATGAAAGTGATTATTATGGCCGATTGGTAGAAGTTGTACAAGTTGAGTACCCTGGCTTACCAATCAAGAGGACAATATTATTCAAGTGTGAGTGGTTTGACCCCACAACTGTTGGCATGAAGGTTCATTCCAAGTATAAACTTGTTGAAGTTAATCATAAGCGTAGATTCAATCACTATGAACCATTCGTTTTAGCAATGCAAGCCGGTCAGGTTTATTATTATACATATCCAAGTTTGCGTCGTGACAAGCCTGACTGGTGGGCTGTTTGCAAAATTAAAGTGAGATCTAATGTAGAAGTTCCTGAATCATCTATATCCACTGAAGCATCACTAATACCTGCACCATTTCAAGAGGAAACTACTGACAATCATGATCACGTGCAAATAGATGAGGACCCATTGCATTTAGATGATGCAAATGGTGGGGTGATAGAATTTGATGGCGAACATGGTGACATTGAAGATGAACTTGAGTTAGAAGAAGAAATAGATGATAACTCAACTACAGATTCAGTAATAGGAGATAGTGATAACGGTACTAACAGTTAGTGCATAGTTCAAATAGTAAATGAACATATAATATTTTTTTTGAATGCGAACATGTAATATTTATATGTTATTTAATTTTATTATATTTTGTTTTAGATGACACGAGGTGGTAGTCGAGCTGGACGCATTAGAGGACGTGGATGGGGTGTACCACCTCCTGTGTAACCTATTGTAGCACCTCCTCCTACTGTAGTATCTCCACCTATTGTGTCACCTGCTTCTGTTGGTTCACCACCTGATTTGCCGATTACATCACCATCAGACTCTACTACTCCACCCACATCCTCATCAGTTGCAGGATTATCTACTGGCTGTGATTTGCCTACTATTCATGTAGAGGCTGACAGGTAAAAATGTGTTATATTATGTTAACATTTATGTGTATATTACTTTTATCTTTATTCATCTCTTATATATGTACAGGTTGATGCCTTCTCACCCATGTTCAGCTACAATGACAAAGATATTCATGAAAATGATCCATCCGAATGGATATAATTGGAAGAGTGTGCCTAATGAGTACAAAGAGACATACTTTGAGGAATTTAAGGTAAATTTTGAGTTTAAATATTTGAATATTGGATGTAGAAAACTTTTATTTAATATGTGTTTTTGTGTGGTGAACTTAAGTTGCATAATGGTGCATTTCATGTATAATTGAAATCTGCAGTAGGTACTAGTAAGTCGGGCTTGTTTGTTACTAACTAAATGCAGAAAAATTGCAGCTTAAATTGTGCTTTGGATATTTATAGTTAAGTTAGCTGCTTAAATTGTGATTTGGACATTTCTAATTGTGCTTTGGACATTTCTAATTGTGCTTTATTTAAATTTGATGAACTTGTAATGTTACAGAAATTTTGAGGAATTTAAGGTAAATTTTGAGTTTTAAATATTTGAATGTTGGATGTAGAAAACTTTGATTGAATATATGCTTTTCTAGTGAACTTAAGCTGCAGAATGGTGCATTTCTTGTGTAATTGAAATTTGCAGTAGGTAATAGTAAGGCATGCTTGTTTGTTACTAACTAAATGTAGAAAATTTGCAGCTTAAATTGTGCTTTTGATATTTATAGTTAAGTTGGCTGCTTAAATTGTGCTTTGGACATTTCTAATTGTGCTTTGTTTAAATTTGATGAACTTCTAATGTTACTGAAATTTTGAGGAATTTAAGGTAAATTTTGAATTTAAATATTTGAATGTTGGATGGAGAAAACTTTGATTGAATATGTGCTTTTCTAGTGAACTTAAGCTGCAAAATGGTGCATTTCTTGTATAACTGAAATATGCAGTAGGTAATAGTAAGGCATGCTTGTTTGGTACTAACTAAATGTAGAAAAATTGAAGCTTAAATTGTGCTTTGGATATTTGCTTAAATTGTGATTTGGACATTTCTAATTGTGTTTTGTTTAACTTTGATGAACTTGTAATGTTACACAAATTTTACAAGTGGGATGCGTCCATTAACACACAAGTTCATGAAGCCTTTTTTATCACAAGCAGGCTCACGCTATGCAGACTTGATCTCCAAATTTAAGAAAAAACGGACATCAACTGGGAGGCCAACTTGTGTAGCTGAAGAAATATGGCGTATTTGGGAGGCATATTGGGATAGGCCAGACGTGAAAGCTAAATCTGAACAACAGCGCATAAATAGAATGAGTGAGGTAGAAGGACCCGGTACGGGATGTTCTCGACATACCGGGGGATCAAGATCAGCTATTGAGCACTGTCACAAGCTGTTAATACATTTAACTTACAAATTTATTATTTGTATAGATTTTACAAGTTAAGTATCATTTTATTTATTGTGCTTGTTTAATAGCGAGAAAATCTCCAAAAGGAGCCTAATCTCTTCGAGTGCTTCGCGCAAATACACAAAAAGAAGAATGGTATGTTCGTTGATGAGAGGTCAAAGAGAATCGCTGTAAGTATAACGTAACAATCATATATTATATTGGTAAATAGATAAAATTTTTATAGGCCTTTGTATAATTCTTTTTTTTGGTATATGTTTTTAATTGTAGGACGAAACAGAAGCACGACGTGCAGCTGCAATGCAAGAAGCTGAAGGGTCATATGAGTCAGCAAGTATAGACATGCCACAGTTGTATGTGGATGTTGTTGGCGGGGTAAAAAAACAATGTATTTATGTCTTAGGGACTAAGGCATCGTCATTTATCAGGGACAATAGTTGTGGTTCATCTGCTTCTTCACAACGTCATCAAGATGCAATGGAGGAGATGGTCAATCAACAGATGGAGATCGTGCGAGCTGAGATGGAGGCTAAACTACAAGCTGAAAGAAATAAAATGCAGGCTCAGATTGCAAGTTTGATGGATGAGTTGCGTCGCAATGGGATGTTATCCACTTCTATGCCACCGCCTCCGACTGCTCAAGTTGAACATTCTGCGAATTCAAATGATGAAAATTTAGGAGATGATTAGGCAATGTTTACTAATATGTTTGGTATTGTTGCAAACCATATAACATTATACAATGCTTTACTTTTGTTATTGTTATGGAGTATGAATGTTTAAATATAATATATTTTATAATTATATTATTTTTTTTGGAAATTATAATTATATTATTGATTATTGATGTAGTATATTATAAGTTTAATGCAGATATGGTATGCGATATAAATTAGTAGCTATATTTTATTTAAAATTTTTATAATATAGCAACGGAAAAATATTATAGTAAATCCGTAGCTAAGAATTTAATATAAAATATCAAATGGTAACAAAATAGTGACGGAACAAATCCGTCATTAAATTTAGCGACGGATATTGTCGACCCTAAACCGTAGCTAAATGGCTTAAAATTCAAATAATAAAAACAACCTAGCGACGACATATATCCGTCGCTACATCTTAGCGACGGACTGGTCCGACACTATACTTAGCGATGGACGAATACATCGCTAGTCCGTTGTAAAATCCATCACCAAATCGTCATGGTCTGAATCTAGCTACGAATATTTTGTTGGCTTAGCGACGGAAATATCCGGCATTACTCCGTTGCAATTTTAGACGTCGATTTGGCTAGAGGGTAAGTGGAATTCTCGGTTGGGGATAAAGTTTGGTTGAGAGTATCTCCCACCCGGGGAGTAATGCGGTTTGGAAGAAAATGGAAGTTGAGCCCTAGGTTTATTGGTCCTTATGAAATCCTTGAGAGGATTGGAAGTTTAGCCTACCGTTTGGCGTTGCCCATGGAATTGGAGAGAGTGCACAACGTGTTTCACGTATCACAGCTCAAGAGATATGTTCACGACCCAGCTCATGTCTTACCACCGGAAGTAATACCGTTAGATGAGGACTTGACCTATGAGGAAAGGCCGCTCAGAATTCTGAATTTCAAGACTCGGGACACACGTAGGAAGTCCGTAAAGTTAGTGAAGGTTTGGTGGACGGATCACGGGTTTGAGGAAGCTACTTGGGAGCTGGAGTCAACCATGCGGGAGCGGTATCCAGAGTTGTTCTCCTGTAACACCCCCATTTTCCATTAACCAAAATAACTTATAAAAATGAATTTATTTTATTAAAACCCATTTTTAGTTGCGGAAGCTAAACAAAACAAAAGGAAAAAGGGATGCTACCGCCACGTTTAGATAACAACCTATATCCAAACGCACAGGCTAAAAACAACACTACTAAAAACAACCCATAATTTGTTCTATTACAACGCATTAAATACAATTGTCTAAGAATTCACTTCTAGATTTTTCTAAAATAATATAAAACTTCAAAGTTCTAAAAGATGAATCGCTCTCATGCTCCAGATACTCGTGCCACATTACCTGCAAAATAACTAAAGGGGGAACAAATTCAGCATACAACAGCTGGTAAGACTCACTCCACCCTGTAAAAGATTTTACACATAGCATATAACACCTTGGAGCACATAATTCCACATTAACCCCTTATTCATATTATACTTGCAACATTCCCTCATACCACCTCTTCACATTTAATTACCAATTACCAATTCAACCACATAATAAATCTAATTTACAATTTCACATAGCATTTCAGAATGTACCATAACATAAATTAATTTAACATAAAATACCATAACTTCCACGTTTGACCACTTTTCTCAATATTAGGATTTAATCCTTTATTTACCACCAAGTCAATGAGGAGGAAAAATACAAGGCAAGAGCCATTACTTCGGCCCAAGTGACCAAAACCAACCAACCAGAGACCAACCCAGTTGGCACGAGATCAATCCCTTAAGTATGCATACCCCCATTGAGAGACCAACCCCAATGGGTAGAACGAACTCGATTGTGAGAGACCAACCCCACAAGGTATATAAAAATTAATCCAGAACCAAATGTGAGAGACCAACCCCACACTGGTATCCATAATCAAATGTGAGAGACCAACCTCACGAGAAAAATCCAAGTATAAATCCTCCATGACCAAACTGAATTAAACATAAGTTTTATACGAAATAATTCGTACTCTCCACCATAATCAAATATATATAAATATATGTATCACAGTACACCGATTACACCATTTATCATCCCATTAATACTAAACCAAATGCAATGTACCAATACTTCACGCTTAATTACCGTACTCTATACGTAGTGTACTAGTCACACACACATACACATATGTAAACGTAGAATACACTTTGTCCAAACTTAAACAAATCTAATTAACATAATTATTAGATATTAAATACATATCCAGTACACAATTTATACATATTATGTATACACATGCAATTATAGGCATACTGTATCCAAATTACGCATACACACTACCAAACATATGTGCACGTAGGAATATATATAAAAACATACAACATAGAATGCATGGTCTAATTGCGTACAAAATTACAATTTCGATCATTCAACATACATACATACATACATACATACATACATACATACATATATATATATATATATATATATTCAAAGAATTTACACAATGAACACAATTTTCACGAAAATAATTAATCACATAGCAATTAATCAAAATAGATTTTTAAGGAAAAGGTTTTCAAACAAACACTTAGGAAAAGTCGATTTTGATTTGGTGTGAAATGATTTTGAATGGATATAAATCTTACCTAAATTCCGAAATTAACACAACAACCCTTGAATCAAATCCTATAGTCGCTCGACTGTAAACTCTCCTTCAAATTGATAAGAAGATATGTGAATTGACTATGATGATTGACGGTGTTTTTTTTTCGCTGGTGAGGCCGATTGAGAAAAAAAAAAAGAGAATAGAGTAGGCTGACGAAGAGGGGAAAGGTTTTTGGAGTCGGCTAAGAAGGAATTAGGTTTTCTTTTATTGTTTTTCTTTTTCCCCCGGACGTGTGCGTGTAGTGAATATATATATACCTAACATAGTAATAACAATATGCATACTAACTTAAGTGGGCTTGTGCCCCTTAGAGATATGTATATAATAATATTATAATTTAGGTTCATAGCAGTATATAATATATACGTAATGTATTTATAGATAAGTTTATGAAATTAGGAATTAATTATTATATATTGCTTAGAAATTAGAAATAAAGGACGGCTATAAAATAACAATAGTAAACTATTCCCAAAAGATTTTTGGGTCAAATAAAATAATATAATAATAACTTTGAAGGATAGTAATATCAATATAATATCATCAAAAATAACCGGGGTGTCACACTCTATCCCCCTTAAAAGATGATTCGTCCCCGAATCATGACCACAGGTTATAATGAACTCAACGTCACAAAGAAACTCGATCTCGAATTTAACAACACAACAAAGAAAAGATGATACACCACAAAGATGGAGTATTACATTTTACCCCGCTTAAAGAAGGCTTTGTCTTCGAAGCACAACCAAACCAAGATTGACAAATGGATGCAAGCATAGATAGGGAAAACAACCAACAACAAAAGACCCAAATTTAAGTTGAATACACCGCAATAAAGACAAAGTGTTACACTCACCCCTCCTAAGAAATATAATTACGTCCCCGTAACTTTCATGCAAGCTCAGGCAAGTCCTTACCAATCTATAAGCATAGATGTAGCCAAACAAAATCACCAAGATCCAAAACATTTTATCAAATAACAAATATATCAAAATAATGCGCCATTATCAAATAACTATGCAACAAAATGCAAGGTCACACATCCTCACCGTGGTTTTCAACATTTTAAATTCTTAACCAATTTTATTCCTATCATCTCATAAACCTAGGTTCTATGGGTCATTGGCACAACCTAGGCTCCCCAAGGTTCGTACGTGTGACACCCCAAAAATCCAAATTCAATTCATGGATTAATTGAGTAATTAATCCTATTTCAATTGAGGAATTAATTTCTAAAATCCTGAAATTTAATAGATGGGGACTAGTATTTCACTAGTCAACTCCAAAGTCAAGTTGTACCTTGAGCTTTGAAGGGAGTTCCCTTGTTCCTTACACTTTCTAAAGTTAGTAAGGGTATTCTTGACCTTTCACCAAGTGTTAGTATTGTAACCTAACCTAGAAGACATCTTCATTTCACCCCTTACACTTTCTTAAACATTAGCTCTACCTTCTCTCTAGAAAGGTGAGTAGCTTTTCCTTCAAGCTAAGTTGAGACCTTGTCAACACTTCAAGATTTGCTCCTAAGATTCAACCTTTCACCTATTTGGGCATCTAGGAGGGTAAGATCTAAGTCCATCTTGTGTTTTTTGGTTCCATCTTAGATGTCTTTTTCTTAAAAGTAGGATCTTTATGATCTTTTGGTTTGTTCTTGAAGTGGGTTTGGAAAGTGAGCCTTGTGGGGAGCTTGTTGAGGTGTAAAGTGAAGTCTTTTAGTCTACAAGAGGTAACCCATGCTCTACAAAACCTATTTTGCTTACCTATATGTGATTTCTTGGATTCTACTTGTGTTTTGCTATGAAATGTGAGTGTTTATGCATTTGTCCATTGAAAATGCATATCTAGAGCTTGTGTTTAGGGTTCTTGTGTGCCATTGCTTGGCATTTTCTTTGATTCAAGTCATTTTGTTGTATTGGGTGAGATTTGGCATGTTTTGGACTTGAATTTGTGTTTGGAGACAAAAATCCGCAAAGTGTGTTGTTGTGGTACAGGATTGTACCCGCGGGCAGAACGGTGGCAGGGCACCACCCGTCGCCCCACCTGCGGGTACGGGCCTTGTCGGAATATGTTCCCGCGAGCGGAACCATGGGTGGGGCGCTACCCGTGGGTCCACCCGCGGGGAACATGATGAGATGAATGGGGGATTTGTTTCCCTTGATTCTTTTGACTCGGTATTTGGTCTTTTGACTTCCCGATGTTCTTTTGTGGAACTATTTGAGTGTCTTCTTGATATTTCGTATGTCTAGAACTATATGGTAGGTATCCATGTAGGTCTTTGGTGTCTTGAATCGTGCTAAGTGTTCAACATTGTGATTCGTTGAACCGTGATGTTTCTTGTGTGTTCTTCGGAACTACCTTTGGTTTATCCATTTGATAAGCATGCTAGTTTGGTGTCTAAATGCTAGCATGTGTGTTGTTTGTAACTTCCGATTGGTTGATGATAACTTGTGTTATTCATCGTTGTTGTTGGGTTGTGACACATTCCTTGATTGAGTGTGTTTCATACCTTCGTTGTGATCCGTTGATTGATTCCTGTTGAGGTGTGGTGTGTGTGGCTTTACCTAGATTGCACGATTAGTGATATGGGACACTAGTCACCAAGGTATTGCACATACACACTACCTAACATATGTGCACGTAGGAATATATATAAAAACATACAACATAGAATGCATGGTCTAATTGCGTACAGAATTACAATTTCGATCATTGAACATACATACATACATGCATACATATATATATATATATATATATATATATATATATATTTATATATATATATATATATATATTCAAAGAATTTACAGAATGAACATAATTTTCACGAAAATCATTAATCACATAGCAATTAACCAAAATAGATTTTTAAGGAAAAGGTTTTCACAGAAACACTTAGGAAAAGTCGACTTTGATTTGGGGTAAAAGGATTTTGAATTGACATAAATCTTACCTAAATTTCGAAATCAACACAAAAACCCATGAATCAAATCCTATAGTCGCTCCTTTGTAAACTCTCCTTCAAATTGATAAGAAGATATGTGAATTAACTATGATGATTGACGGTGTTTTTTTTTTTCGCTGGTGAAGCCGATTGAGAAAAAAAGAGAAGAGAGTAGGCTGACGAAGAGGGGACAGGTTTTTGGAGTTGGCTAAGAAGGAATTAGGTTTTCTTTTATTGTTTTCTTTTTCTCCCGGACGTGTGCGTGTAGTGAATATATATACCTAACATAGTAATAACAATATCCATACTAACTTAAATGGGCTTTTGCCCTTAGAGATATGTATATAATAATATTATAATTTAGGTTCATAGCAGTGTATATAATATATACATACTGTATATATAGATAAGTTTATTAAATTAGGAATTAATTATTATATATATCTTAGAAATTAG